AGATGGGGGGAGGTCATTCATCCCCAACTCTGGGAGAGCCTGGAGATTTCAGTCACAAAACCCGCATACCTGAGTTGAGTTTCTCAACAGATCAATTTCTGGATGACGCTCGTCCTTAGCAGTGGAGTCCAGCCATGAGCATGGCGGAGATTGTAGAGTGTGGAGGCTTTTGGCTGCCAGGGCTCTGTTTGGGTGGATAGTAGCCCTTCTCCAGGCCTCCCAGACATAAATGTCACCTTTTGAGTTTCAATCTTTTCCTCTGTCAAAGAAGGGAATAAAACAACATCTCACAGCCACCTACCCAGAGTTCCATTCACAGTGATCAGTATTTCTGTCTCCAGAGTAGAAGCACTAGAAGCCTGGCTTGCCAGGCTCTGCCATGCGGGCGGGATACTCTCGGTAGCTTGCCGGGCTCTCTGAGAGGGATGGAGGAATCAAACCTGGGTCGGTTGCATGCAAGGAAAACGCCCTACCCACTGTGCTATCACTCCAGCTCTAATATAGTACTTTCTGATTATCTATTAGTTTTTAAGCTTCATGGATTGTATCACAGACCCTAAAACTGTGTGATATACAAGATATAATAAACATGAGATGAAGGAAGGTGATTAGTGATGCTCATGCTCATCAATGAGCTTCACTATCCTAGATCTCGGAGGGAGAGAGCAGTTACCTTGTTAGGTCAAGGCCATTTAAGGGAACCTGAACCATCTGGAAGGTTGGAGAGCCCTTGACTGGGGCAACAAGACAGCAGCAATCATTTTAAGTAGACAAGAGTGGGGACGTAGAATTGGAAACCAGAATGAGTCTGGTATCTCAGCAAGGGGGATGCTGCAGCCAAAGTGGAAGTTGGAAGGGGGGGAAGTTCTGGATTGAGAATGGTTTTTGAGCCTCCATATAGGGGAAGGAAATTAGCCAGGCCCACAGGGTACAATGGCAGGCCGAACCTCACTTTCCTCATGGAACAAGAGAGGAGACGTAAGCCTACAAGGGGTGCAAGGTGAGCACTACATATAGCTTGGTTGGTGGGGTTGCCTAAAGTCTGAGGTTTATTCAAGCTTGCTTCTCCCATGGACTGCCCTGCTTTTCCAGAGTGTTTGACTACCTTGCTCTGTTTCCCACCCAGTGCATTGTCAGTGTGACCGGGGGGGCCACCCGGGCTGCCCTGACCATGCACCAGGCCCGGAGAAACAACATGGCCGATGTGTCTGCCAAGGATAGCAGCCAGGTGAGCGGGCAGCGTGGGAGGGATCAGGTGGGGGGGGGGGGGGGCGTGGAAGAGGGCAGGTGGCCAAGCAACGGGGATTCATGGAGAAGTTCCTCGGAGCTCATTGGGGTGGTCGAGGTGGGAGACAGCTCGGCTCTCAGGATAGGGAGTCAAGTAGAAGGGCACAGGCCTTATGGCACAAACCCAGTTTACCATCTTAGCCTCTGTGCATTGCTGATGTGGAGGGGCATGTTTTCCCTTGATTTCTCTAGGCCGTAGCCTCCTTTGGGGATGTCAGTGTTTCAGCAATATGACAGTTCGACAGTTTACTCACTCACAGTAGGATAGGGAATTCTAGGAGGTTTTCAGTCCGGGAGGAAATATGTGAAAGGCACTCAGGAATATTCAGCCTGGAGGCTGGGGTGATAGTTCAGAAGGTCAGGCACTTGCCTTGCATGCAGCTGACCTGGGATTGATCCCCAGCATTGCTGCAGTCTCCTGAACCCTGCCAGGAGTGTTCCCTAGGCACAGAGTCAGAAGTAAAGAGCTGAGCACAGCTAAGTGTGTGGCTCAAAAAAACAAACAGGAAAAAAAAATAGAATATTCAGTCTGGTTTCATTTTCCAGGAGACACTGGTAAACCTGGCAGGGCTCCTGGTCAGCCTCTTGCTGCTTCCCCTGGTGGCTGATTCCCCAAGGTAAGGCAGAGTTAAGGGGGAAGAGATGTCCAGATGGGCCTCTGTCCCCGTTAACTATCTCACCCTCTCACCCCAGTTTCAGCCTTGGGTGTTTCTGCCTACTCACTGCCCTCCATATCTATGCCAACTACCGGGCAGTTCGAGCCATTGTCATGGAGACCCTGAACGAAGGCCGGCTCTGGCTGGTCCTGAATCACTTCCTTGAGAAAGGAGAAGTACTTGACCCCACGTCAGCCAATCAGATGGAGCCGCTGTGGACAGGTGATTCAACCCTCTGCTCAGTCAAACCCGGGGGCCCCAGGGTCTTCTCCTATCTGGTCATCCTGACTTGAGCTTTCCACAGGTTTCTCGCGATCTCTGTCTCTGTCCCTGGGAGTATCCCTGCGCAGCTTAATATCCAGGTGAGTGGTCTGACAGCAGTTGTCATGCGCATTGGCCTGTCCCAACTGACACCTTCCTCTCTCTGTTCTGTTTCCGCTGAACAGTCTTGGGGACTGTGTGGCTATCTGGAGGGCAGCAGAGTGTGTAACAGAGCAGATGTAAGGGATTTGCTGGGTGAAAGGTTCCTGGGAAAACAGGATGAAGGATTATGGGAAAACAGGATGCTTTGTAGGAAGAAAGACTAGGAAGGATGTAGGGGCATGGTTAATGGCTAAGGGATAGATGGGAAGTAGATTAAGGATGGATGAACTTTGGAAAATTATGATTGAAAGTTCAGTGGTGACTGTTTATTTGACCAGATGGCCTCACTCTCTCCTCTCCCTTTGCACTCTGTTCTTTTACTTTAGTGTCTCTGACCTGAAGCAGCTGGTGATAGGACACCAAGAATCCTACCTCATTCACTGGAACCGGTCAAAAAGTAAGTGTGCTGTGTTCTGCCAACCCTCAGTTCCCTCCCCTAAAGTCAGCCTCCAATTTCCCCAGTCCCAGGATCCCATGTTACCTACAGACCTTGAACATTTTGGAGACTACCTGGGGTCCTGGAGGCAGTCCTTGCTCTAGACTTGATGCATGCAAGACCTGCATGTCCCAGAGGAATTCATTTCGGTCCTCTTTGTCCACTATGTTGCTAGCTCATACGTTTATCATTTTCAGTAAATTATGTGCAAAAGTAGAACATATTTGTATAAATGTAATTCTTTATAGGTACTAATGTGCCACTTGAAAAAGTAAACACAGAGGCCAGGGAGATGAATGTTTTGCATGCTGAAGTCCCTGTTCAATTCCTAGCACTGCATGGTCCCCTAAGCACTTAGGTGTGACACACAAAAAAACCCCCAATATTTACATATGTGTGTATGAGTATATATATTTTTACTTATGGAATAGATATGATATATATTTCAAATAAGATTATGACCTTTAGGTTATCCCTGGGTTATCCCTTTTTCCACATCTGTGGTTACTTCTTGAGGAAACAGACCTAGAATTTATGGGTTGCTGGTCTTATGTTAAAGGAAACTTTGCACGCAGGGGTTAGAGCAATAGTTTATACCCAAAGCACATACTTTACATGTGGATGCCCAAGTTCCATCCCCAGCACTGTATGGTCCTCTGAACACCACTGTGAGTGACCCTTGAGCACAGAACCAGGAGTATCCCCCAAAGCACTGCCAGGTATGGCTCCAAAATCCACCTATCTCCCCCCAACACCAGTACCCCCCCCAACTCCACCAACATGCATGCAAACTAGACACACCTCAGCCCGCTGCTATGAAGTTCTATTTGGGAACTGAGCATTTTAGTTAAGCCAGAGTATTTGAAAACTGCAGGAGCTGATTTGGAAAAGACAGGGTAGAGATGACCTTTAAGGCCAATGCCTCAGATGATGATGCAGGGTAATGGGATTGATGGTGTTTAGGGAGTTAATCCTTCCGGGTGTCTTTATAGACCAAGTCCGGGTCGTTCTGAGCAAGAATGCAGGCCCTGACACTGTCCTAAAGGCTGCCACCCATGGGCTGATGCTCAGAGCCCTGCAGGGAGCTGGGTCTCTCCCAGAGGAGCTGGAGAAACTGCGGCTCAGAGAACAGTCAGGTAAGAGCTGCCCAATCTGGACTGCACCTCTGGGGTCTGAGGGAGGGATCTGGGGAAAGGATTATATGCATCTGTTAAGTTTGGAAACCTAGAATGTTCTGGTTCTGTGCCTCGCTCCAGGTTCTGAGAAAGATGATTGGGTCATCGTCAGGGAGACACGCCTTGTGTTGGACCAGCTGTTCCCAGAATTTCTGAGAGGTACATCCTTCAGCTCCTTTGCCTCTTAGGCCTTTACAGAGGTCCTGCCTTCCTATTACCAGCCTTGGAACTGGGGAGGTGTGGGTGGGGGAGACCTGAGATTTCTGTCATCTGAAGTCTGGGCCTCAGTTCTTTGTAGGATGAGGAAGTTAGAATTTCTTTGGGGCCTGTCATTGTTGTCTTTGTAATCCCAGTTGACACTGAAGAATGAGGTGGATGAAGGCTCACAAATCATCAATGCTCTTTTCTTTAGCACCTCCTCCATTCCAGCCCTTTTCCATGGACCGTTCCAGTGAATTCTGGCTGTATTCAGATGAGATCGTAGCCTCATTTTATGCCAGAGATCACCCAGCAAAGCACGAAACACCTAAGCAGAGCACAGAGCCTCTAGCAGGCGTACGCTCCTCCTTGACCCACTCCCTGGAACCCAGGTGTCCCCCCACCTCCCCAATAACCCTGTGACCTCCATGCCCTCTTCCCAGGACTGCGGAGCACAGGGTGGAATACTGAGAAGCACCAGCTTGAGGTGGATGAATGGAGGGCCGTCTGGCCCCCGGCTCCAGAAAAGAAGATCCTCTGAGCAGCCCAAGCCCCAGATCTCTGTCAGCACAGGAGCAAAGACGCTTTGACCTCAACCGCGTGTGGGAAAGGCAGCTTTATTCTGTTAGGGGAACAGATTGGCCAGGCCCTGTGGGAAGTGACTGCCAGTTAAGGGACCGAGGCCCAGGTGGGAACAAAGTGGAACCAAGGCGATCCCGGGCCTTCTCACTTCTCCACTTGTAAGCTTGCCCCCCCCCCCCACCTCCCTCACTGTGAAGCCGAACTCACCCCTGGCTATAGCTCAGATTCCCAGAAAAGTTGACCTCAAGCATAAAATCCCCAGAGGAAGACGGCCACAGCCATCATGAGCAACGCATTGAGATTGACCACGCGGGCCCAAGTTGGGTTCTCACTGATGTCCTCCATCTGCCTGGCTGCTTCAGCCACCTCCTCCTCGGTCGGGGGTGGGGGACCACTTGACCCACCCTTGCTCATTCCACAGAACCAGAGCAGGCACTGGCGGAAAAAGCCTGGTGCTGGGGACCGGGGCTCTGAAAAATTGAGGTCTTACAGTTAGTTTGCAGGATCTTGTCACCCCTCCGCCTCCTCGTCCTACTTCCCTGGGCTGTGTCTTACCCTCAATCTCCACTGCATGTTCCAGGCACCCGTTTTGTACTGGGGGCGAGGTTGGCCCTCTCAGCTCATCCACGTCCAGGTCTTCCCGCTCCTCCTTGCTGTGCCGGAGACTGTAAACCAGGCGGTGGAGCTGGAAAGGGGGAGTGGAGACTCGGTGTGGGCTCTGTGTAGTTCCCCCGACCTTGCGGCCACACTGGAACTCCCTGACCAAGTCCAAGTTCAACTTCCTCCATCCCTCTAACCCACTGCACGTTATCCTCTGGCCGGAACAACCCTCCTCAGCTGGAGTTTTAAAGCTATTGTACCATCGCAACGATTCAATAAAATTAAAATACTAAAAAAATAAAGCTGTTGGCTCTGTTTTATCACACCGGGTGTCCTATCTACATTCAGAATTCTACTTTACACTTTCCTGCTATGGTTCTTTGCGTGGGTGTTTCTGCTCATGGTATTTTCCTGTTTGCCCCCTCCTCATCCTTCCAGACCCAGTCATTCTGTCCACCATTAGCCCTTCCAGACCAAGCCTTTCATGGGCTTCCAAGACACTGGTACTCCTTCTTCTTCGTCACCAGCCTTACCCCATTTTTTTTTGGGTCACACCCAGCGATGCACAGGGGCTACTCCTGGCTCTGCACTCAGGAATAACTCCTGGTGGTGCTCAAGGAACCATATGGGATGCTGGGAATCGAACCCGGGTCGGTCACGTGCAAGGCAAATGCCCTACCCACTGTGCTATTGCTCCAGCCCTTACCCCATATTTTATTTTATTTTGTTTTATTTTGCTTTTTGGGTCACACCCTGTAATGTGCAGGGGTTACTCCTGGCTCATGCACTCAGGAATTACCCCTGGCGGTGCTCAGGGGACCATACGGGATGCTGGGAATCGAACCCTGGTCGGCCTCGTGCAAGGCAAACTCTCTACCCGCTGTGCTATCACTTCAGCCCCAACCCCATATTTTAAATCCCAGGACCATGCCAGAGACTGGGCACTATAAGCATCACCTCCAGACTTCTATAAGCCACCTCTCCCCAGACCATCTCAAATAAATGACACTTAAATTGAAACTCAGTATTTGCTTCGCAAATGCAGCTTCAGACTGGATCCCCAGCTTGCTCTCAGAAAACCCCCAACAGAGAAATTTAAGTTCTTCCTCCGGGGGCAGACTCGACTTGCCAGAGGACGGCACTGCCCACTTGGGTCCTAGTGATGTTTATCCGAGCATGGCACTTACGTGCTTCTGGGGAATGGGCTCTGTGCACAGTGAAATTAGGAGGATGAGAAGGCCGGAACACAAGAACAGCACGATGGCGAAATAGAGATAGTGCACCCCACAGATAATTGCTGGGCAGGACGAAGGGCGCACGCAGCTGCCAGAGCCGAAGGAGAACTCGGGAATAAGGCGCGCCAGACCCATCAGCAGCCCGCCGATCAGGCCCCAGAAGGCACCCTGGGGAGGTGGGGTGAGGAGAGGGTCAGCCACCCACCGGGGCTGCTTCAGGAGCCCGGGTCAGGAGCAGAAGGATCCCTCAACGCGCACCTTCTCATTGACCCGGGGCACGAAGAGAGCGAGCACGAACACGGCGGACACGGGCGGTGCCAGGTAGCTGGAGACAGCCTGGATGTAGTCGAAGAGCTGCCCGCCCTGCGCCGCCTGCACCACCGGGAGCCAGGCCACCGACACGGCCACGATGAACACCACCCAGAGCCTGCGTGGGGGATGGAGGGCGACGGCGGGGCGTCTGATCAAGACCCTCGACGCCCCTCCCCCTCCGCGCGCCCGGAGCCCCCCCACCTGGGGGGCGGCAGGATGGAGGTGATGACGGGGAAGGAAACCCGGGCCGGGCCGCACCGTCCGACCAGCAGGAGCTCGCGGTCGCCGGCGCGGGGGCGCAGGCGCGTGTAGATGTCCATGGTGAAAAGCGTGCTGCTGCTGTTGAAGATGGACGCCAGCGAGGACATGAGCGCGGCCAGCATGACGGCCAGCATGAGTCCACGCAGACCTAAGGGCAGGTGGCGCCGTGAGACCCAGCCCACCAGGGAGTCCCGGGGGTGGGGGGGAAACCCAGGCACCCGCCACCCCGTCCTCACCATTGGGCATGAGCTTTACCACCAGGCGCGGGTAGGCGATGTTGGAGCAGCCCACCTCGGTCCCACACACACGCTTGCACACTTCAGGCACCACGCATGCCACCTCGTCTGCAGAAAAGAGGACTAGGGGGAAACCCTGGTAGCGCAGGGTTTGGGGGCGAGGGACATGGGGGTGCTGACACGGTGGGGCCAGTAACCCAAAAAGGAACCAAGCTCCTTGCACTAGAGGCGAGCAGGATGGGGATGGAGGGTAACAGGACTCGGCTGGGCAAGAAAGCAGACGTTACCCGGGTACAGAATGCGACTGATCATGCCTGGCATGACCATGAGGAACATGGGCATGAGCTTCAAGTAGCCGCAGAGGATGCAGCCCGCCTTGATGTGCGTTAGGTTCTTCCCGGCCAGGCAGCGCTGCACTATGACCTGCAGGCGACAAGCATCGGACCACTCAGGCCCTCCCCGCCTCCTCCCTACCCCCACCCCGCCCCCTGCTTGTTATTGAGAGCGATAGCACAGCACAGCGGGTAGGGCGATTGCCTAGCACGCAGCCGACCGGGGTTCTATTCCCAGCATCCCATATGGTCCTCCGAGCACCGCCAGGAGTAATTGCTGAGTGCATGAGCCAGGAGTAACCCCTGTGCAAGCCGGGAGTGACCATCCACCCCCCCCGCCCCCCCTAAAAAAGAAAAAGAAAAAGAGAGACGTGCTCCAGCTCAGCCCCCAAAGGTAGACCGCGCTCTGGTGCCTCAGACCCGCCTCCTCGGCCCGCCTCCCCCTGCCGTTGCCTTTGCCCGCCCAGCTCCGCGCTGCCAGACCCTACCCAGACTCCACCCCGCACCTGATCGCTGCACCAGTACCAGCCGGAGACGATGGTGAGCCCCACGAGCAGCGCGGGCCAGGGCAGATCTCCAGCCACAGGGTCCCGCAGCAGGTGGTAGGAGTCGGCCCGGGGATGGTAACAGGAGCTGGAGATGTTCCCGACAGCCGGATCCTCGGATACCGTCAGCGACGTCACTGCCCCCAAGTACTTGTCAAAAAGTCCTGAATAGCCGCCCACCTCGTGGAAAGCTGTAAGGCAGTCATGCCAAGGCACTTTCTAGAGAACTCAGGTGCGGAGCAGCTGTAATGTCCTTGCTCCGTGACTGAGCAGGCAGACCCAAGACCTCGGTGTCCCCATGCCGGTTGGCTAGCCACCTTACCATAACCCATGAGGATGAAGGCGCCCCCAAGGATAACGAAGGTCTGCACAGTGTCTGTGTACATCAGCGCTGCCAGTCCGCCTGCAACACCACCCAGGTCAGTGCCCACGGCCAAATCTAGTATCCCTTCCTGAAGAACATGTATCAGAACCGAGGCCCAGATTCCATGCTCGGGAGGCAGAGCGTGGCGTTTTCACTGGGTTCACCAAGTGTGAGCTTGGTTTCAGCCTCTTCTGATGCCCCTTGGGCCAGACTCCAGAGCCTTCTCATCACCACAGTTTTCTCATCTAATTCTCTAAGGTCCCATTCTGCACCCCATCCCATCCCCGTGTCTGGGTCCCTCAAGCCACCCTTGGTACCAGGCCTGACTCCTCTGGCCCCGCACTAGGATCCTGGAAACTGCATTTGGTGCTGGAGACTGGTTGTACCTGCTCCAGCCTCCACCCCTGCTCACAAAAAGAGCTTCTGAGCCTGCCCACATCCAGTACAGGCTCAGTGACTTGTCTTTCCAGTCCAATTCCAAGGAATAGTGTGTGTGTGCGTGTGTGCATGTGTGTGCATGTGTGCATGCATGCATGCGTGATTGTGCGCACGTGTGTATATTTCATAGATTTAGGTCTTTTTTTTTTCTTGAAACACATCATTTCAGAAGTTTTCCACCCCACTCCCTTTATCATTCTTGACTCCCCTAAGCCCCAGCGCATCTTCTGAGCAAGCGTTTCCCTAAACCCATGCCACAGCCACCTGTCACAGTGTAGATCATGGTAATGGCCAGGAGCGCAATGACAGAGGCGTAGATGTTCCAGCCCAGAGCCTGTTGGATGAAGACTGCCCCCGAGAACATGTCCACCTTTGAGAAGTGAGCAGGAGAGCAGATCAGGACCCAAAGGGGTAGGCCTTGGCCCTATGAGGCCACCACTCAGAAGTCCCTATTCATCCAGTCTTCGCAGGTCTCACCCATTATGGTCAGGGCCCCAGAAATCTATTCCTTCCAAGGCCATGCCTCCCTGGAGGAACAGGACCAAGAACAATTTCTCCTTGGTCCCATCCTTCCAGGCCCTTCAAGAGCACCCACTCAGAGCGCCCAAACAGAGTGCCCGCCACCCAGGATCCCACCACACCAAGCTCTCACACCGAAATCTTGGTGAAGATGTACAGAAACAGTGAGAGCACAGACAAGTAGAGGCGGATGCGGTGGCCGCCGAAGCGCTTGCGCAGGTACTGGGGCATGGTAATGACGCCTGCCGTCAGGTACACGGGCGCGAAGAGCCAGCCGAGGAGCAGCACCACGAACAGCGCCTGGGGGCACAGAGGGACAGCTGAGGTGGCCCAGAGGAGGTCCCTGAAGCCCCCCAGAGGATGCTGCTGTGGATCCCAGGCAGAAAGGCACAAGGTCGGGACACCTTCTTGGACCCACCCTTGACTCACCTTCCTGCCCTCAGACTGTATTCTTGGGCCCCCATGCTCCCTTCTCCCATATCCCAGCACCTGAACCCAAATATAAGATTCCTCCACCTGACCCTCCCTTCCCCTCTCCTCCCATCCCACTTTCTGTCTCCCAAGGCCTGGGACCAACCCTGATATCTCCAGCCCTCCAGGGTGAGTCTCAGTGCCAGAGCTTTGTCTCCTTCCTGGTTCTGCAAGGACTTTAACCAATCCAGAGAGGCCCCCCAGAGCGCAGCTTCAAGGAGCCTGGAGGGCCCTGACCTCAAGCAGAGGCTGGGGCCTGGCCCGGGCTCCCGTAGGGATGTCAGGAGCAGAGCCTATCTTTGTTTTTGTTTTTGTTTTGTTTTTTGGGTCACACCCGGCGATGCACAGGGTTTACTCCTGGCTCATGCACTCAGAAATTACTCCTGGGCGGTGCTTGAGGGACCATATGGGATGCTGGGAATCAAACTCGGGTTGGCTGCATGCAAGGCAAACACCCTACCAGCTGTGCTATCACCCCAGCCCCATATCTTTATTCAGAAAATGGCTGCCTTTACAGGCCCCCACCTCCAAGCATGGGTCCCCCACTGGAAGCCCAGCCCCTACCAAGGGGGGAAGTTCTATTTCCTCTTACACACACACCCCACCTGCAGTCTCTCCAGGAGGGAACCCTTCGAGGGTCCTCCAGAGGGTGAGGGTTTTGGGTAAACAAGGGGACTCACATTCCACTCAAATCCAGCCACAGCCAAGCCACTCGCGGCTCCAGTCCCTGCGAGGCCCACAAAGTGGCCACTGCCGATATTGCTGGCGAAGAGAGAAGCCCCAACCTGGGGTGGGAGGGGGGAGGATGGCAGGGTGAAGGTGAGTCACAATGTTCCTTGAAGCCCCTCCCGCACCACAGGCCAAGCCTCACTCACCGGCCACCACACCATGCTTCGTCCTGCCAAGAAGTAGCCACCCACAGTGCCTCTATTGGTCCTGCACATGGACTGGAGGACATAGATAGGGAGAGATCTGGATCAGGGGCACGTCTCTGGGCATCATTAGGCTCCTAAACACATTCCTCAGGCTTGTTCCCGGCTGAAGATTAACTGGTGCTCTGCTCTCCTGAGGGTTCACACACTACCCCACCCCCACCCTCCTCTTCCAGAAACCCAGAGCAAACCAGGCCCTACCCTGGCATCCAGCTCTCCAAGTTGAGTCTGGCTGGTTTCAGCCTGATTCTTGCCAAGGGCTTTGGATATGAACACCATATCCAAAAGTAAGTCATAAGGTAGCACTGTCCTCCCATTGTTCATCGATTTGCTCGAGCGGGCACCAGTAATGTCTCCATTGTGAGACTTGTTACTGTGTTTGGCATATTGAATAGGCCACACAGAGCTTGCCAGGCCCTGCCCTGAAGGCGGGCTACTCTCAGTAGCTTGTTGGGCTCTCCGAGAGGGGCAGAAGAATTGAACCTGGGTCAGCCGCGTGCAAGGCAAACGCCCTACCCGCTGTGCTATTGCTCTAGCTATAATGTAGACAGGAAAAACAGAAGCCTCATTTAGAAAGCTGTCCCCGATGAAAATCTATCAACCCCCCTCCATGAGATCACCCAAAGGTGAGCGAGCAAGGAATGAATGTTGGCTGAGTCTTCCTGAAGCTGTTTAGAGACTAGCTTGCTCCTTTCTGTTCAGATCTCCCCTTCCGGTCCAGGTACTCTGCCTTTATGGTCTATGGGAAGACTTTTCCTGAGACCTCCCCTCAACCCCAAGCCCCGGAGCATGGCCCCCAGTAGTCTTCCCTTGATATCTCACCCACAGTCCAACACCAATGACCAGAAGGAAATAAGCAGCAATGACGACAATGTCAGCAGGGTTGTCAATAAGGACACTCTGGTCCTCCAGCCCGGGTGCCGAGCTTGCCTCTGTCTGTTCCTCCATTCTGCTCACGATCTGCTCCTCAAAGGATGAGCCCCTGGAATTCCCCAGGGAAGAGATTAATGGTTACCTCAGGGGCACTGAGCCGGCAAGTCCCCCAAGCCTGGTCCCCCCACCTCAACTATGTTTAGCTGAATCAGGTCACATCAAGGCCAAAGGTGAACTCTTTCGAGATCAGGAGCACTCTTTCTGGGGTCTCAGCTCCCATCCCTTCCCAGGGCCCCAGGTTTAAAATTCCCAACAAACTCCAGAGGGATCATTTTCATTTTTTTTCTTTTTTTGCTTTTTGGGGCACATCCAGAAATGCTCAGGAGATATTCCTGGCTCTGCACTCAGGAATTACTCCTGGTGGTGCTTGGGGGACCACTTGGGATGCCGGGGATCGAACTCAGGTCGGCCGCATACAAGGCAAATGCCCTACCCGCTGTACTATCGCTCGACCCCGAGGGATCATTTTCAAAGCCAGTTCTATCATTTCTATGCTCAAGATCCTCCCATAGCTCCTAATAATAGGAGGAAGTAAAAGAACCTCGGGCTGATGTTGAAGGCCTGCCAACCCCCAACTCTTGTTTACCCTTCCCCTGGCTTCTCTACCAAATCTAGAATGAAATAACGTCTCGCTTTTGATACTCTTGGTTTGCCCAGCCCCCGTGTATCCCCAACTTTCACAAAAAGCACCTTTCATAGAATGCTTCCCTGCCTTCCAAATGGCAACTTCTACTCTGCCTTCAGTACCCAGTCCACATTACCCTTTCAAGAATGGTCTTCCTGATAGTTAGGAGCACATTGTGTAGCCCTTGTAAAGGCTTGGGGGGAGGGGTACAGTGGGTAGGGCGTTTGCCAACCTGGGTTCAATTCCCAGCATCCCATATGGTTCCCCAAGAACCAGGAGTAATATCTGAGTGCAGACCCAGGAGTAAACCCTGTGCATCGCTGGGTGTGACCCAAAAAGAAAAAGAAAGAAAGAAAGAAAGAAAGAAAGAAAGAAAGAAAAGGCCTTGGCCTGTCTCTCCAACCAAACTAGAGATGCTGCAAAATCAAGAAATTATCTGATTTATCACTGGAGTTCCATTGTTCAGCGCAGGACTGAATACAGAAAGGGATGATGTTGATGAATATGAGTGTGAAGGCAAAAAATAGTACTTTTCTTTCCTAGAATGGACCTAACCTGGATGTCTGATTACAGCAGTTAGCTTCATTCCAGAGACAGTGAACAGGAAACTATTTTCAGGCAATATTAAAGAGCCTTATTTTGTATCTCTTCAAAAGCAGACTCTAAGACAAGAATATGGGTGCAAGGATATTAGAAGGGAGAGACATAAACCCACTAAAGACTGAAGGAGGAAGGGAGACTGAGAACAGTTGGGAGAAATCCAATAAAAGATGTGTTGATGAATGGGTTACCATTGTGAACAGTGTAATTCAAGCCCAGTTCTAGAGACCTTCTGAGCTCAGAGGTGGAGAACACACCTCATTGTTAAGGATAATAGGGTACTTCTGTCTCTAACTTGTTGGAAACTACTTCCACCACACTTCAGGCCTGCTAGATCCAGGACCACACTCCAGACAGAAACTCAGGAAGCAGCTGGGGAGACAGGATATCTGGGAACTATCTGCACATAATTTCCAGGGTTGTGGGCTAAGTGAATCTGAGTGGGCAACTACTTGGGTCAGGCTTTTTACAAGCCCCTAAAGCAACTAAAAGTGCCTGAGAAAAATCCAGAGTAAGTGTCAGAGAACACACTAGAGTTACTGGTACTTACAAACCTATCCATCTTCACGATGGCCTACAAATCCCTTCCTGATGAGTATCTGCTTTCTTTCTGACCTCTGCCTCTCCCCACTGCTGGCTCTAACCCAATGACACTGGGCTTCCTTTCTTTCTCCAAAGTGCCAAGTTCTTTCCTATCATCTGGCCTTTGCACCAGCTAATTTCTGCGTCTGGAATGTTCTCAGTCTCTTTGCTTGACTAGCTCTTTCTCAATCGTGAAGCCTCAGCTAGGACAGTACATTTTCACAGAGGCTTTTTCTATCTGGTTAAGAAGACAACACTTTCCTCACCTTGATCTTAGTTCTCTATTTTGTCCTTCTCACCTTCCTCCTTCCTTTCTTTCTTCATTAACAATTATTTTTTTTGAATTAGACACCGTTCTAGATACCAAAGAGACAACGGTCAGCAAATCAAATGTGTCCATCTAACAAAGAAACTCTTGTTCCAGAAGTAGACATAAGGGAGCAACAAACACCTATGGCAACAGCACTATAAAGGGACGAGGACGTATTGTAGGTGGAAACAGGAGGGTAACAGTCAACTTAAGTGGTCAGGGAAGTTCCCATTATTCATCACACTGGTCACTTGAGCATGTTTGGCTACTAGACTTCATCTATGTTGAGGGCTTGGTTCTGTGCATTCTCCCCAGAAACTGGTATGTGCTCAATTAACACTTGGTGGATGAAGGAACGCATGGCCAATTGAACCATCCTCAAGACAGGGAGATGGTTACATACCAGGAGGAGGACAGTAGTGCCTGGGAAGCATGTGTACAAGGGGCAAAAAGAGGAAGTGTTTTTTGACTGACAAGACATTAGAGGCCTTCCCCAGTCAACCCCAGTTCATTCCCTGGCTCTGTATATAGGCACCTAAGCACCATCAGGAGATCCCTGAGCACAGAGCCAGGAGTCAATCCTGAGCACCACTTGGTGAGAGTCAAAAACAAAACAAAAAAGAACAGTAGAGCAGCTTATGAGGTATGTGCCCCAGGCAAGGTCAGGGGACACCTCCCCTTGTGTACTGCCCATACAGGTTATTGTTGGCAGCTAGCCTCACCTGGTGCTAGGAGGCATGTCAGAATTCATCATTCCCAGCTTGAAGTGCTATAATTTGAACGCAAGTCTGTCGGCTCTCTAGTAAAATGCATAGGGCCAAATGCTGGGACCCAGATAGGCCTGTGCAGTTCAGAGATAAAACTCAGGCTTCCCCATACTGCACCTTCCTTGGCCCCCAATCTGAGTTCTTGTGTCTTCGGAGGCCGAGTGCACTCCCCTATTGCCGACCTGACCATATTCTTTGGTCTTCTGTCTGGGACGATGTCATGTCAAGTACTAGTTAGAGGGAAGTTGTATCTCAGGGTTCAGATTAAAGCATAAATTGGAACTTCTAAATGGAGCCATGCTGAGGGGGCTCTGGGGGGGAGGGGTCAGGCCACTGGACGCCAATCAGCGGGTGCTTGAGGGGATATAAAGAGATATATGCAGCTGAAGAAGGGGGAGGGACCCGCTTGGGCTCTGCTATTATCTGTACAGCCCAGTCCTGTCCTTGTCATTGGTCTCCACCCTTCCAAGCTGTGGGGCCGCATCTGATACGCAAAGCAGTCTGGAATGGGCGGAGGCGCCCTGGTCCTGCCCAAAGACACCACACCAGGAGTGACCGGAAATGTGTGTTTATGTAGGTAGAAAAGAAGTGCATAGAACAGTGAGAGCTGGAGCCGGAGGGGCTGGCCGGGTTTCTGCTGAATCGGCAGTTCCAGAGAGTGGAGGAGGACCCTCTGCAGGGCACTGCCCCCCTGCACTGGGGGCCCAGGGGAGGATGGAGAGTACCTTAGGGAGGGTTTAGTACCTCAGTGGGCGGGGCACCACAGAGGAGGGGAGTGAAGAGGGGGGATGGCGAGGGCCCCACATCAGAGGGCCAGGTCTTGTCTGCAGAACCCCGGCGGCGTTTGGAGGAGGACGGGCCTCTGCCGCCCGGCCGGCCGCGGTCAGCCGAAGAGTTTGAGGAAGCAGGGCTGGCAGTAGGGCTTGCCGGCTCGCTCCTGGAACGAGCCCTTGGTGAGCGGGCGCAGGCAGAAGGTGCAGGTGAAGTGGTCCGGGTGGAAGCGGCGGCCCAGCGCCGACACGCAGCGACCCGTCACCGGGAGGCCGCACGTGGCGCACAGCGAGCCGCGCCGCGCGTGAAAGTGGCTCTCGCACAGCGGGCGGCCCTCGTGCTCAAAGAAGCTGCCTCCCGAGAAGGGCGCGAAGCACTCCTGCGGGGAGAGCACGGTCAACCCCACCCGACACGAGCCGGCCCCGCCCCCTCCGCCGCCCCGGCGCCGCCCCCACAGCCGCGCACCCTGCACACGAAGCAGTCCGGGTGCCAGAGTGCGCCCAGGGCCGAGATGTAGTTATCCAGGATCGGGCCCTGGCAGCCCTGGCAGCGCGGCGCGAACAGCTGCAGGAAGTCCCGGCGGCAGTAGGGGCGCCCCTCGCGCTCGTGGAAACCTGCGGGAGTGGGGGGCCATCGTCGAAAGGAGCCAGGGAGGGGATGCACCGGGTCCCCCAGCACCTGGGATCCAGGGGCCTGCGGCGGCGAGACACTCAGGCGCCGAGCAGCGGGGAGCCCCCCCTCCCAATCTACGAGAAAGCCCCCAAGTCCCGGCCTCGGCGGGGCTGGAACCTCAAACGCCCACCCGGCGTCGGAGGCCAAAGCCGCGCTCTCACCCTCATCTCCGAAAGGCTCCCCGCAACTGACGCAGCAGAAGTGCTCCGGGTGCCAGTGGGTGCCCAAGGCTGTGACCATCTTCTGCGGGGGAAGAAAAGGAGACGCTGGGTGTCCCTCCCGCTACCTCTCCTCCCTCTCCCTGTGAATGGGTTGAAGCAAACGTGAGAAACTGGACTAGCAGGGGGCCTGGAAGTCGGAGAGAGGGACAAGTTCGGAGTTTGGGAAGGGGACTGGGCGCTGGGTCCCGAGAGGGTCGGGGCGGGTAGTGGGGTGCGTGTGGCTCACGTGTCTGATGGGTTGATTGCAGAGGCCACACCGTGGGGAGAAGCGCTCAAAGTAGCACTCGGGGCAGAAGGGGGCTCCGTCCTTCTCGAAGAAACTGCTGCCTCCCAGGGTCGTAGAGCAGCCGCCGCAAAGGAAGTGCTCAGGGTGCCAGGCTCGCCCCAGCGCCGTCACCACCTGCGGGTTGGGGGCGCAGTGGGATGCACTTGAACAGTCGGAAGTTAAGACTTTTTAAGCCCTATCGCTGGAGAGCTGGAAGAAGCACCCCACTTTCAAGACAGCCTTTAAGTGATGGGGTCACCCCAGGCTTTACATCACAGTGCTCAGAACTATTATGCCATGAATATGTCATTTCTTTTCAAAGAAAGATTTAATACATAATATTTCATCTGTACACCAACACATTCACAAAGTATAATTTTAAAAGTATATCTTAAAGAAGGAAGGGTCTCATGAAAGCAAAACAGCATAGGTCCCCCAAAAGTCATAATGACACTCTGCTTTACAGGGATTAGAAATTCTGAGATGCAAGCAGAAGTTTATTATAATATTTTTTCTTTTTCTTTTCTTTTTTTTGGGGGGAGTGTCACACCTGGCAATGCTCAGGGGTTACTCCTGGCTTTGCACTCAGGAATTACTCTTGGCAGAGCTCAGGGGACCATATGGGATGCTAGGAATTGAACTCAGATCAGCTGTGTGCAAGGCAAATGCCCTACATCCTACGATAGCCATGCTATCGCTCCAGCCCCTATTATAATTTTTTAACGGGGTCACACCATGGTGTGGCATGGTGGGTTGCTGGGGGATTTGGCGCCAGTGTTGGCCTGGCAGTTCAAAGCTGAGTACAGTAGTGAAACTTTGTTTTCTTCCTTTTGTTTTGTTTTGTTGTGTTTCTTGGCTTGACCAAGAAACAGGACACTCTAGCAAGAGCGTCTAAATCAAGCACTGAACACAGCTGTTACATCAACTATGTCACAAAGCCAAGTACCAGAGTTCCCAGACCAGACTCTCATGGAGAAGAAATAGAATTTGTGATGCCCAAGAGATGGTGGGGGGGCACCTTGAGGAATCTATAAAGATTAATAAACCAAGGGTTTGTAAAGGAGTAGCAACGTGTGCCCAGAACAGAGCCTCAATAGATGATAACTGGACTAACATTCTCACTGTGACACACTCACTGGCTGTGATTCAGACCTTCAGTTTCCTAGTTCACAAAAGATGAATAACAATAATAGCCATGCCCCAGAGTTATTTACTTTCAATAAATCTGGTTTCAATGGTAGTCGGAGATGATCCCTCTGGACAAGAACTGAGTGTTGAAAAGAGGGAAAGTGTTTTGGTTTTGTTTCAATCTGGTTTGTAATATAGATGAGTCAGTGGGCGCACGTACTTGCCCAGCAATGGGTTTATTGCAGGAGCCGCAGAGCCCCTTGGCCTGGGTGGGAACTCCACGTCGGCTGAGGTCAGACTGCAGCATTCCCAGCATGGAGTCTAGGCTTCCCTTGTTAGCAGGGCCTGGTGGAGACGGGGAACCCTCATTCACGGAGCTTGGCGCTGGTGGCTGGCTTGGCGCAGAGGTTGGAAGCTGCAGCAGAGAAGGCATGAGAGTTGAGTCATAAAGACAGAAGAAAGGTCTTGTGGGAGGGGGGAATCACAAGCCAACACTGCCCACAACCCTCCTCCCACCTGACTCACATGATTCTGGACACGGAAGTCAGAGAGTGAAGCCATCAGTCTATCCAGCTCCAGGGTGGCTGAGGTGGCAGAAGGCTTTGGGAGAGCTGGAGTCGGGCTGGGAGGGCTGTGAAGATCTGTTAGCTCTTTGCCTCCCAGAGAATAACCCCTCCAATAACTCAGCCCTGCCAAACAGTCAAACTTACAGGTTGGATCTTTTCTTGTCGTCAGATGGGTCCTCCTTCTGCTCCCCTGCAGCCTCCTTACTAGATGGGAACTGAGACATTATTTCATCTGCAAGGGGATAGAAAGGGTATGATAGACAAGAGGCCATGCTTTACCCACCCTCCCAGTTAAATTTTGTGTCTATTTAAGTCCATCCCCCTTCCCTGCCCTCCCCTCGTCCCATGAAAGCCTTTCTCGGTACCTGTGATGTTGAACTGAGTAGCATTAAGTTCCTGAAGCAACCGGTCTAGCTCACAGAGCCCCGTGCCCAAGACTCCACTGGAAGAGGAGAATGGAGGGGCTCCAGAGGACACAGTCTTGGGGGACCGAGGCTTGCAGACCGTACTGGGAAACAGGGTAGGAGCCTGGATTCAGAGGTGGGAAGCCTCTTCACCCAAGTCTCTCCCCCACCACCATCAATTTTATTTTATTAAAGCAACATGAGTTACAAAGTTCTTTATAGTTGGGTTTTTGACATACAATGTTCCATTAATGATCCCATCACCAGTGTCTACTTCCCTCCACCAGTGTCTCCAGGTTCCTCCTCTTACCCTACTCACCCCTAGCCCCAGTCTGCCATCTTGACAGGCACCTTTTAAGTTTCGGTTCCATGATTTCAGTTTTGTTGACTCTGCGGTTTGGGTATTAAGCTCTAGCATTTCTTAACACCAATGATGCCCCTGAATCCCCTTGACCTTTGCCCAAGTTGCTTTTCATCTATCTCTTCACCCAGCTCTCTCTCTCTCTCTCTCTCTCTCTCTCTCTCTCTCTCTCTCTCTCTACTGTTTGGGTCACAGTGATGCTCAGGGGTTACTCCTGGCTCTGCACTCAGGAATTACTCCCGGTGGTGCTCAGGGGACCATATGGGATCCTAGGGATCAAACCCAGGTCAGCCATGTGCAAGGCAAATGCCCTCCCCACTGTGCTATAGCTCTGGTCCTCTTAATTACTGTCCCATTCCCGCAGTACCCAGGCCTCTCACCTGTATAGGTGATCCTTGTCCCCAGAGGTTCCTGAAGAGTCCCCAGACCCCATCTACAGAGAAGAGTTAGATGTAGGATGACAGGCCTGTATGCCCCCCTCCCCCCCAGGCCCATGTTCTTCTAAACCAGCATCTAATCTCACCTGTGGCTGGTGACCATAAGACAGGGGAGCTGAGAGGGGTTCTGGGGGTTGTTCTTTGGGAGCTCCTGACCTTGGCATGTGTGAAGTGGTGGTTTCCAGATCAGAGAGCAGGGCGTCTGCAGGAAGAGGCCATCGGGTGAGAGGTTGAGAAATCAAGATTAGGAAAAAGACAAGGCTGTAGAATATCAGAGCATCCGGATCCCAAAAGGTAGTGAGGTCAGAAGCTAGTGTTAAGAGCAAACATTAAGAACTGGAAGGAGGGAGGAAGAGACAGAAGTTAAAGCACTTGCCTTGCAAAAGTTAGATTCCTGGCACTGCTTATGGTTCCTGAGCACTGCTAGGGGTCACTCCTGAACACAGAGCCATGAATGCCCCCTGAGCATGGTAGGGTGTGGTCAACCCTTCCCGAACCTCCACCTCATCCATCCCCCGAAAAGAAGAATCAGAAGAAAGCATGATCAGAAGAAAGCCAGATCAAGAAAGACAAGCAGAAAGATGGCAAAGAATATTCGTGCCCAGACATCCCAAATGACTCCATGTGTGAGTTATGCACAAACCCAAGTCTCCTGACTGTTTTATTCACCACATCTTTCCGGATGCAGCCCAAACTGGCTCTACTTCAGCCAAATTTGGCTCCACCCCAAATTGCTCAACTGGCTGTTTGCCTGGCACCCTGCTTTCTGATAGGATGTTCTTTTTTTCTGCCACACCCACTAAATCCTACCCCTAAACAGACTCTATCCAGCAGCCCTGGCCCAGGTCCAGCTCAGTGCCCTGCTACCCCTACTGAGCAGCGCCCCCTTCTGCACTGCCTTCCAGCCCAAACTCCAAACACTAGAGATCTTTCCTCCCTGAGACAACCCACTCCCTCCACTCCGCACCCAGATCCGGATCCTCTGAACCCTGTTCCTTCCAGAACTTGGAAATCTCTGGCTCAATTGTTTTTTTAATTAGTGAATCACCATGAGGTACAGTTGTAGGCTTACAAACTTTCGTACTTGGGTTTCAGTTATACAATGATCGAGTACCCATCCCTCCACCAGTGCCCATTCTTCACCACCAATGATCCCAGTAGCCCTCCCCCCACCCCCTACCCCATCCATCCCCCCCATCCCACCCCGCCTTTGTGGCAGGGCATTCCCTTTTGCTCTCTCTTTCCTTTAGGGTGTTGTGGTTTGCAGTAGAGGTATTGTGGCTCATTTTTTTTTAAAATAGCATCACGGTGGAACACTTCCTTCACCTCTTCCTGGCATCTTGACCCTCTGCACCCGTTTTTCCTTTGCACCCCCAAGCCCGGATCCCGAACGTCTATAGGGGCCCTTAACTCTCCGCGACCGGGGACTTGCGGTCCCTCCTCCCCGCGCGCCGTCGGCTTTCCCGACTCCCCTCCCCGCACGCAGCCCGCAGCCCAGGTGCCCGGGCGTGCCCCCCCTTCGCCGCCCGCGCCCGCTGCCCGTCCCCTCTTGCGTCCTTCCGTGGGCGGCAGAGCTGCAGGGGCTGAGCGCGGGGAGCGGGGCAGGCGAGGAGCGCCCGGCCGGGACAGGAAGGGAGCGGCAGGAAGGGGGACGTGGAGCCGGGAAGGAGGCGCGGGCAGCGGCCAGGAGCGACAGGACGGCGGCGGGGATGGGGACGTGAGGCCACCGGGCTGGAGCGGTACCCAGGCTGCGGCGAGGGTCTGGAGACAAGGGGACCCCACTCACCGAGGTCCTCCATGGCGGGGCGCGAGCGGACAGCGCGGGGCGAGCAGGGCGGGGGCCGTGTCCGGTGGGGGCGGGGGGCTGGGGGGGGAACGTCCGGGAGCTGGATCCCCGGCTGTGACCATGTAAGGAAGCCGGGACCCGCTGGGATGGGGCTTGGGGTGGGGGGGAGCAATGTGCGGGGTACTCGGGGTGGGGGCGTGTGAGGGAGGGAGGGCCACGGCCCACCCAGGCCCACCCCGCCTGCCCGCCTGCGGAGCTGGCCACACCCCAGCCTTGGCCGCAGCTGCACGGAGCCCCAGGCGGCAGTCAGAAAAAGTGGCTTTTCCAGATCTGGCCAGGCACCCAGCATCCAGTGAGGCTGAGCCCCCCCTTCCCCCTCCAAGATCCCACCCTGCGCCCTAAGAGAGCCCCACGGCCACCCAGGTCCCCCCCGGGGGACTTGCTCCAGACAGTCTCTGGGTTGGGGCCAAAAATCTCCTTCTAGGGCTCAGTCAGACCCCAATTCCAGAGACAGAGACAGACCCACTGAACCTTCCGGCGGAGCTAAAACCTGGGACAGACTGAAACCCAGCCCAAGTCTCCCTGCAGACCAGAGTCACAACAAGCCCCCCTCCCCGTCCCCCACCCCCAGCACCCAGGTGATCCAAACCTGTTCCCCCCAAAGTTCCCCACTGGCAAACAACTCAGTCCCCACAGAGACCCAGGACTGAGTGAGACCCTGAGAGACCAAGGTGGAAAGGACATTTTCCGGAGACACGGATGGACACAGGAAGGATGCTGCTACTACAGAGGGATTTGCTATGAGCACTGGACTGCGGGCATCAAGCTAATTAACAACCTGGAAAACTTTAACAATTACTGATCCCCAGAGCATCCTCCCCTCAGCTCAGTTTGATCAGAATTTTTATTTTGGTTTGGGGGCCAACCTGGTGATGTTCAGGGATAACTCCTGGCAGGCTTGAGGACCATATGAAGTGCCAGGGATCAAACCTGGACTAACTGGTACAAGGCAAGCGCCCTGCTCACTGTGCTATTGCTCCAGCTCTGGTCAGAATTTTTTAAAAGTTCTCTGAATGCTTGTAGAGAAAGACCTGAACAAATGCTCAGAGGTGTACTGCGAGCAAATGATAACCTTAGCTCCCAGAAGCTTACTAGTAGGCCCTGTCCAGGCCCTGTCCTCTGGCTGGGCAGCTGCCTAAACAATAAGGATCCGGAGGCCGGGCCTTGGTGACCCTGCTGGGAAACTAAGGCAACAAAAGTCCTCCTGCTCTTGAGAGGCAGTCCAGAGCTTTGGTTTCCTCTGGGGAAGACTAAGACAGGGTCCAGAGACTCAGGAACAAAATAAGTCTTCCCTTAGACAAATGAGAATATTTGGCCCAAGACAAGACTGCAAATGGATAGACACTCTGAAAACAGTAATGCCAAGACCTCAGACATATACCCTCCCCCACCCCCTCCCCATGCCCCATCACAGAAGCCCCTTAGCACAAGCCTCTCCAACTGGGACCTCAGGGTGCCCAGGTGAGTAGAGAGCAGATTTCCTCTCGGCCCCAAACAGACATAGAAGATCTAGGAGCTCCACACTCCCCCTGGGAGCCAGGAACCCCTGCAGGGGTTCTACATGCAAAGTCCTACATGCCAAGAGTGGTCTGTATTGAGACAGACACCTGGGAGGCATCTTGGTTGATGTGTGGCTGGGGGTGGGAGGAGGGGACAAGGGGAGGGGTTTCCCAATAGAAAATAGAGACAACACATAAGTGGGGTATCCAATTCCAAAATTTTAATGCCAATTCCAGAAGGCCAGACCATGCTGTGCCAGACACATGGGTGCGGGGCAGAACGCCACCTCGTGGGCCCCGTGCTCAAACGCTGATCGTGGCTTCTCACTCCTCGGTTTTCTGACCACTGTCCTGGGGGCCAGCTGCTCCTCCTTGGTCCATGATGGCCACTCATCCTGCTCAGACTCCTCATGCCATTCCATGCTTCCTTCAGAGCCAATTCATCCTTGGGTCCCCTCCCGGGGGACATCAACAGTCTAGGCCGGGCCCCTTGCCGTTCAATTCAACCCCCGTTATTACAGCCAGGAAAGTCTCTGTCAGGGGTTCTGACTCCTTGCCTGCAGCCTCCACAAGCCCCACAAGGGCTAGGGCCCGCTTGCGCAGGCAATGCCCAGACTCCAGGGCCCAACGGGCACAGTGGGCAGTCAGCCGGGGGCGGCCCAGGCGAAATACCTCACCCACAGACTCTGGGCTCCCCTGGGGTCCCAGGTGGATGTGGCTCACAGCCTCTTCTAGCTCCTCCTCCAGCCCAGGTAGCAGGAAACGCCCAGCGGCCTCAAGTGCCTCCTCGGCTTCTGAGCCCAGCAGGGGCTGGCCCAGAGGGGGAATGGGACCCAGGGCAACCCCGCAGCCCCGGCAGCCGTGCAAGTGGTGCAGGATGGGCCAGGCTGCACTTGGTGACAGGCCGCGAAGGGGCACCAGGTCCATCTGGGCTTCCGCAAAGCTTCCGGCCAGCAGGGCCCGGAAGAAAGGGGAGGCCGTGGCCGCGGCAGCTCGCTGAGCAGGGAGCCGCAGGCCAGAGTCCAGCAGGAAGTGCAGGTCGGGGGCAGGGCTGGGGGCTGGGCCCAGCAGAGGTTCATAGAGACAAGGGGAGGGGGGGTCTTGATCCATGGGGACGGCAGGGGGGATGGCTGGGCTCACAGTGGGAGCCAAAAGGCCCTGAAGGCAGGAAAGGGAATCTGCAACAAAAACGAAGAAGAGCGGGTGTGGCGCTGGTCGAGTCAGGGCCGCCAGGAGGACACGGAGGCCGCCTTGGTCCAAAAGTAGCCGTCGCCAAAGAGAGGGCTTCCTTTGAGAAAGAAGGGGATCGTTCAGAGGGTAGGAAAGGATGAGGCTGGGAAAGAGTCACCTTGCCCCCCAGTCCTGCGCCGGGCACCTCCAGCCCCCTCACCGACAGATGAAGGGCAGGGTGAGCGCACAGGCCACTCGGTCCTCGGCGCTTCCGGAGAGCAGCAGGTGCGTGAGGGCGCCTGTTCCGTAGGGGGACTCGGCCTGCACGGTCAGGTTCTGGAGCAGCATCTCACCTGTGAGACGGGGAGATCTGGTCAGGCTGGGAGCCAGCGTCTGAGACTGGGGTGGGACGGGCAAAGGCTGGCTTCCAGGCCTCGGAAGGGAAGGAGGGCAGAAGCGCAGGGTAAGGAACCAAGGCCCAAGAGTGGGGGGGTGAAGACAGCGCTGGAGAGATGAGTCCGGATGCCAGGCACCCGAGGTCCAGGGCATGAACGGAATGTGGATGAGCCGGAAAACGAGCAGAGTCCCCTCAGGGGGCTCAGTCTGTCGTTCAGGGCTCACAGAGAAGGCAGCCTCTGACAGGGCTAGGGAGGACTTTCCTGCTGCGCTCTGGGAGGACGTTGACGTCTGAGCCTGGGCTCACGGTCCGTGCGTCCAGCGGGGAAATCACTGTGACCATCAGAGCCAAGTGCAGCGCAGGTAAAGGAATGCTGGCAGGCACCATTCCAAGTTGCTAGAGTCAAGACTTGGATCAGGCTCTCTGGGTCTCAGTCTCGGGCGATGGCTGGGGCAGGATTCTGCTTACAAGGCAGTAGAGCATAAAGGTGACCCTTCGGATCCCCAGCCTAAGGGCTGGGTGACCGGTCCCGAAGAGAAGCGAGAGCCCGTGAGCGAGAAGGCAAGGTTCTGGCTCAAGGAAGGCCTAAGAGGGGACTGGAGGACTGGCGAGCTGGGGAGACATACCCAGCTCCCGGTGCTGGCTACGATGCATGGGCCGGGCCTGTGATGCTGGCCAGTCATCCGGGGCGATGCCCAGCACCAGCCAGGCCCGCAGCAGCGCTGCCCCGTAGCTACGCACGAAGGCCTCGAGGCAGACGGGGTTGCAGGTGAGGCGAGTCAGGATGCGCAAAGCACGCGGGCTGGGCGGGCCTGGTGCGCCCGTCACATAGGCCAACAGGCCACACAAGGCTGGGCCTGTCACCAAGGCCCCGCTGGGGTCAGGAACCTGGGAGAAGCGTGACAGTAACAAAAGCGCTGGCCCTTCATGTCCCCAAGGCTCCTCGAAGGTGGCAGGGCTGTGGTCCGGCGTGCGCAGTGTCCGAGGCATCCTCAGCGGGGCTGGGCCAGGCATAGGGCTGGTTGGCTCCGCCGGCTCGGGCGGTGGGCAGTGCTCAGGGGACCAGTCGGGAGAAATGTCTCCTGGGCCGACGGCATAGCCCTCGGAGATCAGCCATGACCTGTGGACAGGGGAGAGGGGCCTCTGAAATCAGAAGGCGTGAGAGGCGGGTTAAAGAGGAGACTTGCAAAAGGAAGTGAGGCAGGGAGAGGGGGAAGGGCGTGAAGAGTTTTGGGGGGGGGGGGGGCGCGAGCAAAGGGGAACCACAATTCATCCAGCAATTACTGACGCCTAGGAGCCAAGCTTGGTTTTAGGTGCAGGGGAGAAGCAACAAACTAAAGCAAAGTTCCTGTCCTTCTAGAGTTTGTATCCTACCAAAGAGATACAAACTCTCCTTGAAGACTCCTTAAAGGGAATCGCTACAGTATATCACCTTATATACTGTATATGTGTGAAGTGAGACTCATGGATGAGGTGAAAGGGGAAGCAAGGAGCCTGAGCGGGGGCCTGGACAGTGACCTTAGTCCAGGTGAGGCGTACAGGAGAGGAGAGCGGTAGGCAGGGAGGAGCAATGGAAGAAGCCCTGTGACGGTCCTTCCCTGCCATGTCGGAGAACAAGCTCGGAGACCCCTCTGCTAGAGCACCGCGGGCACTGGGAGGAGCCCAGTCCAAGTGAGCCAGCATGCACAGGACACTGATCCTGACTCAGTGCTACTTGGTGCAACATAAGTGCCAAGTACCAGCACTGCATCTTTATCATTCCTTAGGGGATGTGTGCATTGGTCTCATCACAAGAAACCAAATTCAGGGACCGGAACAATAGTACAGCGGGCAGGGCGTTTGCCTTGTACGCGGCCAACCCGGGTTTGATCCCTGGCATCCTATATGGTCTCCCCAGCACCACCAGGAGTAATTCCTGAGTGCAGAGCCAGGGGGAATCCCTGAGCATCGCTGGGTATGACCCAAAAAGCAAAAAAAACAGAAACCACAGATTTAGATTCAGAGAAGTTAATTAACGGTTCTGTGAGGACTCGACTTGCAAGTAGTAATACTAGAATAAGAACTTAAAACCTACCACCATTATCTGGTGTACACGTGACCTTCCAGTCAAAGTTCCCAGGCCCCAAACTAACAAAGTTCAGAGGGGCTGAGGTGAAGCCAAGGTCAAAGGTGGGCTTAGGGAAGAAGGGGTGTTCAAGGGGCACTGAAAACAGGTCACATCTGGGATCGGAATTTAGGAATCGGGAGTCAAACTTGCTAACGGTCTCACAGAGACAGGCCAGTAGGTGAGTGGCTTCAGGAGGGCTGGAGCTGGGTGGACATGGCCCCTCATGGCCCAGCACCAGGCGAGAGGGACTCACCTGAGGCTTCTGAAGCTTCCAGCCTCCGCCCGCTCGGGGGTCCGCTCCTCAGGAAAATCCCAGGAAGCCGCTTCTCTTCCCTCTTCCTCCTCATCGCCAGGCTTACCACACAGCTGCCCAGCCAGAAGCGGGACAAGTCCCAGGGCCTGGAGCCGACCCAGGGCTGTGGGATCATAGAGGAAGCCCACGAGGGCAGCTACCACGCGAGGGTGCCAGGAGCTGGCCCGAGCATCCCGCAGCAGGCCCATGAGCAGCTCTAAGCCCCCGGCATCCCGGAGTCGGGCCCGGTTAATGGCCTCTCGGCACAGCAGGCACACGGCCCGCACCAGCGGCTGCTGAGAGGCCGGCGTCGTCCCGTTGGGGCCCCGGCGTCGGCGAAGTTCACCTAGGAGCACCTCCACACCGCCGGCATTGCCCAGGGCGGGCCGAACCAGGCCCTGGGAGCAGAGATTGGCGAGGACCAGGATGGCTGTCTCGCGGACGACCCTTTTCGGGTGGGAGGCTAGACTGACCAGTGGGCCCAGCCCCCCACCCAGGCTGAGCTGTTCCGCACAGGCCCGGGAGCAGCCTCGACTCAGTTCCAGGAGGGCCTGGACTAGGGCCAAGGTGAGGGCAGGGTTGGGGGCAGCGGCCAGCAGTTCAGCGAGTGGGCGCACGGCTCCCTGCTGCGCCAGTGCCAGGCGGTGCTGGGGGGAGTCTGCCAAGTTCCGGAGAGCGCGAACCACGCTCTGCAGGCAATCGGGGTCCTGGCAGGCTGTCAGGCTTTCAACGAGCAGGGGAACAGCACCTGGGGAGGGAAGGGAAGAACGGGAAGTGAACCGGGAGACACGGAAACCCTCCCCCTCACCAAACCGACTCCACCCATAGCGCCTGCTCACCTGCAGAGTGGATGTCCCCACAGCTCTCGGAATCCTTGGCTAAGTTTCCCAGAGCCCGGGCGGTTCTATTCTGGATGCTATCTGTCTTCACACACTGAAGGACAGTCACTGCAAGAAAGTTTGGCCTCTTGAGAGATTTCCTCTCGGAAGTCACCTGGAGAATGTGGTCTCCCAGAGCTGACGTGACAGTACAGCGGTACCCAGGGCCAACCCGGGATCGATCCCTCGCACCCTATATGGTCCCCTGAGCACTGATCCAGGAATGAGCCCTGAACTGTCAGTACAGATCCATCCATCCACCCCACGCCCCCATCCCTCAAAACAATGTGGTCACTGGAGGCAGGAGACGGCCCAAAGGTCTGAAGTATAGGCTCTGCATGCAGGAAGCCCAGGTTCAATCCTTGATACATGGTAGCCTGGGCAATGCCATGAGTGACTCTTGTGCACGAAGCTGGAAGCAGTCCCCCCTGATTTTGGTACAGTCCAAAATCCCCAAAGAGTAAGAGTATGGTCTCAGAGAGCGAGGGATGTCTCCAGAGAAGGCATTAGAAATACTTGCTGGGTCAGGAAGGCCGCTGGAAAGGTGTTGCAGGGCATTTCAGGCTTGGAAGCAGAGACCCACGCTCAGAGGTAAGAGCCAAAGTCAGTGCTGTTACTTTCTGAAGGGCCTCGGATGCCAGGCCAAGGCATCTGGACTTGATTCAAGTGAGGGCACAGGGTGCCACAGGGGGTTTTAAGAATGGAAGTGATATGATATGGTCTGGCAGCCAAGAGGTTAACAAAGGAGAAGAAAGTAGGGGGAGGCAATAGGCTAGGCCAGGTGAAAAATGACAATAGCTTGAAACAGTTGCGCCTAGACCATGGGTATCAAATCTCCAGGTGCATGACAGGAAAACAGAGAGAAGTGAACAGATTCACGAGGCATTTAAAATTCATAATAGAGGGCTGGAGTGATAGCACAGCGGGTAAGGTGTTTGCCTGACACGCGGCTGACCCAGGTTCAAGATTCCCAGCATCCCATATGGTCCCCCAAGCACTGCCAGGAGTAACTTCTGAGTGTATGAGCCAGGGGTAACCCCTGTGCATCGTTGGGTGTGACCCAAAAAGTAAAATAAAAAAATAAAATTCATAATAGCAGGGCCAGAGCTGGAAGCACAGCAGGTAGAGTGCTTGCCTTGCACACGGCAAACCAGGGTTTGATCCCCCCAAAACAGAACAACAATAAAAAATAAAATGCACAATAGTGACTGAATGATGGAAATTAAACAGTAATTACTAAGCTTATAATTTATTGAGAACTTATTAATGGGCAAGATCTCTCTTCAAACACATTATGGTCCAGATGCCTTTAGCAAACTAAGGGTGCCGGAGCCATGGAGTGGGCAGGGCATTTGAACATGCAGGAATCCCAGGTTTAGTCCTGGGGTTCCCATATGGTCCCCCTCCGAGTGCAGAGCTGGAGTAAACCCTGAGCATAGCAGAATGTGGCCCCAAATTTAAAAAAAAAGCAAATAAAAATTATACTGTTTCATGTTAAAAATTACTATTTCATCAAAATTGACATAATTTCGTAGTTGGAAGGCATATGTGTGAAATAGTTTCAAATTGTTGCCACTAGGAGGCGCCAATTTAGTTGTTGAAAAAAGTTGTTTGTTATCTTGCTTAAATAGGAATCTGTTTACTGTGCCAGTTTTTTCGCTTTCTGTTTTGGGAGCACACCTGGCTGTGCTCATGGATGACTCCTGGAAGTGCTGGGGTCAAACCTAGATTTGTCAGGTGTAAGGCGCATCTTACCACTATACTCTTCAGCCCCTGTGCTAGTTCTAATAACTCCTAAAAACGCACTCTACATTTCATTTTCTCCCCACTCCCTACTATAGATTTATGCGGTTGCAAAGAATACTAGCCCCGGGGTGGGGGACTGTCTTGCAATTGCAGAAGTTCAACTCACTTTTTTTTAAAAAACAATCTTACTTTCTCTTTTATTTAATTTTATTTGGGGGTAGTGTAAGTCACACCCAGCGGTGTTCAGGCTCTGCTCAGGAATCAGTCCTGCTGCTGGAGTACTATATGCGGTGCCCATGGATCCACTGAACCGGGTTCTGCCGGGTGCAAGATAAGAACCCGCTCTATTCTCTCCGCAGCCCTGAGCTCACTTTTCAAATGACTACACCCTCGGATCTCCAGCTCATCATATAGGGTCTTGCATGGGGCTCAGTAGGCATCAGGGGTCTGCTACGAGTGGAGGGTAAGAATAATCTTCAACAGTTTTGCTTCCATCACAGGAGATGTGAGGCGGGGGCGGGGAGAGCAGTAACCAATTCCAAGGTAATAGCTGTAATAAACGATCTGATGGGGGGAGGGCTAGAGTCATGTATAAAGAGAGCGATAATGTCAGGGGGCGTGACAGCTTGCGCGCTGTGTCTTCATAAATTCTCCCAGGCTATACAACACATAACGAACTCAAAATTCCGCCTAGACCCAGCCAGAAAAATGGTGCAAGCGCAATCCTTGTAGGAAAAACGGGAGGGGCACTTACCCAGAGAGAGAATACCCCCGAGCCTGCGCACTTCAGCCCTGCACGCCCCTTCGGTACAGCAGTTGGCTAGGATGCTGAGCGCCGAGTCCAGCGTCTTGCGCAGGCGCGATGGAGACGACGAAGCTGCCGCGGGAGGGGCGGGGCCCGACGAAGGGGCGGGGCCACCAGCAGCCTCTAATTCAACCGAGGGGGCGGAGCCGGAGCCCGCCTGGAACGGGGCGGGGCCCGCCGCGGCCGCTCGCCGTAGCAGCGCGAGAAGTGGGCGGAGTCCGCCGCGTGCCCGGAAGCGTTCTATTCCCCCCGTTGCCTTGACGTGGCGCTTGCGGAGGGCTAGGAGCGCACGGCCCAAGGGTGTCTCGTTGGTAGTCGTGTCCTTTGCCCCAACCAGACACTCCCCGGCCGCCGCCGTGAGCTGCGCGAGGCAAAATGAGAGCGAGTCCGTGGGGACTGGCTTCGTCGCCGCCATCTTGGTTCAGGCCTCCGACTCCGCCCTCCCGCTCGCCGCTTCTCCAGGGGAGCGGAACTGGCCGGGAGGGCGTGGTCTGGCCCCTCCTCTCTGACGCGGTTTGAGCAGCGCCGCCACCTCGGGTATGCGAGTCGGAAGTTGTAGTTCTTGATCCCGTTACTCTGAGTTGTTGGGTGTGTTTTTTGCACGATCGCAGAAGGCACAGCAAGAGTGTCAGGGTGAAGTTCATCGCCGGGGCAAACCCTAGAGGCATGTGCGATGCATTCTGGGAGTCCGTGGCACGCCCCGCTTCGGGGCGCTTAGGAAACAGTCCTGGGGGCGATTCAGAGGGAGCCCCAGTCTCTGGAGAAGCCGTCCACCCGATCGTCCGCTTTGACGTCGACTGCCCCTGCGAGCGCCTTCAGCCTCACTTCGTCGTCTCGGTGCGGTGGCCGTCATAGGACCGCGCACCTCGAGCCAGCCCGAGAGTGTCAATTACTGTCAGCGGTCGCTCAGGGGGGAACGGGGTTGTGTGTGTGTGTGTGTGTGGTTGTGTGTGTGTGTGTTCCGTCGAGAGAGTGAAAGGGTTAATCCTACAGAGGCGGTTCGCGGCTACTTCCTAGAGTGTCTCGGGCCGAAAGACATACCCGTTTCCGGTGCAGAGTCCTCAGTGTCTCCCTCTCTGGCTGGGCCTGTGAGCTGAGCGTCTAGGAAACACTTCTGAGTGTCCTTCACTCACATTGGAGTCGGCTCCTTCGGAAGCGTCAAGGGAGAACTCGGAAGGGACAGTGCAACTGGAGAACGGGACAACGGGATCCGAGAGAACCCCGAAGTCGACCCTGGATCGTGGGGTCGTGCAGTCTGATCGTGGCAGCTGGCCGCCGGCTGCACCTGTTAAAAACCCAGTGGAGAGTCAGCCCTAGGGAGGAAGCAACCCCTTCCAGGACAATCTGTCTTGCAAGCCCCAGTCTTAAGAGTTTTGGGGGAGTGTACAGACCCCACCGTACCTTTCTGCCTCATTCACCACCAAAGTCGCCCAGTGGATCACAAGCCTTCTGCTGTCCAAAATATGGCAACAGCTTCCGATGTGGCTCTCTAATTAAATTCTTAGACTGGGGACAGTACCTGATTGTGGTGTGGCTGGTTGTTTCAGTCTGCAGCCTCGTCTGTCGCCATTGTTCCCAATCAGAACTCATCTGCACTCACAACTCATTGCACAAGATTTAAGGTCAGAACTGAGGGTACAGCCTTGGTTGAAACCAACCTCACAGAAAGGAAAGGGGAGATCAAAAGTGAATAATGCTATTGCTAGGGCTGGAGCAATAGTACAGCAGATAAGGCACTTGCCTTGCATATGGTCAACTTGTGTCATATGGTGGCATCCCATATGGTTCCCTCAAGCACCACCAGGAAAAATTTCTGAGTGCAGAGCCAGGAGTAACAACCGTTGAGCATCGCTGAGCATGGCCCCGTTACAAAACAAAACCACAAGAAACAATGACTCGAGTAATTAGATTAAGACTTGCCTGAGCTGTTACATAGAAAACTCAACTGGACCACAGATTCAAGTTGCTTAGTCTTGAACAGGTGTATCTCTTCCCTTATCTGTAAACAAAGGAATATTTCAGTTCAGGTTTTACCTGAGTCATGTACACGTGTGTGAAGAATTTTATAAAGAACAGTACAGGGGCCTGAGCAATAGTACAGGGGCATTTGCCTTGCACTGGCCAACCTGGGTTGGATCCCTGGCATCCCATGTAGTCCCACAAGCACTGCCAGGAGTAATTCCTGAGTGCAGAATCAGGAGCAACCCCTGAGCATCGCTGCTGGGTGTGACCCAAAATAGCAAAAACAAACAACAACAACAAAAAACCAGTACACACTTGTCCTCAGAAACTTTATAATCTAAATTGAAGATAAAATATACACAAATATGTTTCTAATCATAAATAAGTGATGGAAATAACACAAGATTATATAGATTCCCAAAACTGTGGAAAAGGAGGACATGTCTTATAAAGATCAGAGCTTCTAGAGGAAGTGTGCCTTGAACAAGAATTAAAATTGGTGATTAAAGGCCAGGGATGTTGCTCAGTATAATGCATGCCTTAAATTTGTGAAGCTTTTATTTATGGACACACACATACATACACAACAACACACTCTGATTACAGAATCATTTTAAGACTCCTTTACAACTTGGAGGAAAATACAGCTAGTCCAACTGTCTTATCCTGAGTTGCCCAGAAAAGGAAGCCTGAGACAAGAATCAAATGGAAAACTCTTACTTAGAAGATGAAAACCAAAAACCTTGGTGGTAGTAAAACAAGTAAAGAAGCAATATAAAAAAGAGAAGGAGGGATCAGAGCGATAGTACAGTGGGTATGATTTTTGCCTTGCATCAAGCAGATTTGATTCCCAACACCCCGTTTGTCCCTGAGTACACCAGGACTGATCTCTGAGCACCTCTGGGTGTGGCCCAGAAACAAAACAAAACAAAACAAAAGAATAATATGTGTGAGTATCTTAAAATCTATGACTTCTAGGGTTTGGCATATTAATGATCCAGATCACACAAGCTTGTATATCTTTCACATCTATGGAGGAGACTCTGAGTTTTATCCCTGATATTATCTATCACTTCTGTCCCTAAATTTGATTACTAGCTGTTGGCCTCTGAGGATTCTCTATGACCGTCAGGTCAGTTTAACCATCTACTTTCAGAAAGAGACTTGCTCAGAGGAAAAGAAAACCAAAGCAGGTTTATTGGGGTTAATAAACCTTGCTCCTCAAGGAAGATAACCATAAATCTAGTCTTCTGTGTTATTTCCAGGAGTTCCCACTTGGATTAAGACCTATTTACCCACAGTAGTAACATACTTTCTGCTGTGTTGGCCTGGGGGGTCTCAGGGTAGGACACCTTGAAATTACTGGTGAGCATCTGCTTGTGAAACTACCCTGGAATTTCTTATGGCTGTTTGAATTCCTGGAACTTGCTATCTGACAACAGTAGGCCCTGTAGCCAGCCTACCCTTCTCCACACAGATCTAACTGTGCATCCCTCCCCCAGCCCAGACCTCCTTAACTTCACTATAAAATTACCCCAAAATGCATGTTGGGCGTGACTTCACTGGCCTCTCTGGTGCACCCAAGAGCACCCCCAGTAACCTGCTTTGGTTTTCTTTCGCTCTGAGTCAGTCTCTTTCCATCTCCACGAACTTTCTGACAAGGAGATGGTTAAACTGACCTGGAGGCCAGAGAGAATCATCCTCACAGATGCCAACAGCTAGTAATCAAACGATGGCCACAGAAGTTGATAAGTTTGAGGACATTTGAGCAGGAAATCTTGGGGAATTCACATATTCTGGTAATGGCATTCCTCACTTAAGACTTTTCTGAAATTTCCATTCAATGCCCCTCCCAATTTCCTGTAATCATTAAGAGGTTTTCTTGATTATGTCAAAGAATGCTTCTAGCTAGACTACCATACTTTTGTTGACACAAAAGTTAGCTGTAACACATGTGCTTTCCACATAAGTTCAAAACCGCTTCAGAAACTTGGGTGGACAACAGCTCCCACAGAGAAGCATATACAGTACAATAAGGTGACCAGGGATGTAGGGATGCAGGATGTGTCTGTTGAACACAAAGGCGCACACAAATCACCTCCCACTTCAAGGTCTGTACACTTTCCTGCTTTCCATTTCCCTCCAGAGCTTCTGGTTTTCCAGTTTCCTAATGAGGACATAATACAACTGATATGCGTTTGGTTTTTAGTTGTTATTATCTATGATAGCACTTTTGTTAGAAATGTGAGTCTTCAGATAAGAGAAAGTGGCTGATAACAGATTGTTGTCAGATTAATTTACTTGATAAGCTTTCAAAGGGATTCCCCCAGGACTTGGTGCACTTAGTTATGATGACAGGGGAATCTAGTTGTCCCATCAGTTTTCCAGTCCTTTACTAGTTTTTAACTAATTTACCCACGATTACTAATGGGTCATCAGCCCAATAGCATTAGGTAGAGAGAGTCATTATAATGCAGTGCATGGAGTAGGCAAAGAAAACACGAAGGCAAGAAATTTAACAAGAGGGACTGAAGAGATAGCACAGCGGGTAGGGCATTTGCCTTGCATGCGGCTGACCCGGGTTCAATTCCCAGTATCCCATATGGTCCCCTGAGCACCGCCAGGAGTAACCCCTGTGCATTGCCGGGTGTGACCCAAAAAGCAAAAAAAAAAAAAAAAAAAGAGAGAGAAAAAGAAAAAGAAATTGAACAAGACCCAGACATCAGATCTAAGCAATTTTTATAATTGAAGACAATAATCTGGCCTAAAATTTTAGCTAGGCTAAAATATTTCAAGGGGGGTGTGCAGTGCTGCCTGTAGATCAACCTGTACCTGCAGGATGAGTGCATCAGCAGCCTGATGGAAACTTCAGACTTCCTGACACCCCAAAACTGCGGCTGTGCCTCTGACTGGACCCCATCAACTCAGGGCCAAGTTTCCAAGAAATTAAATGGTTAAAAGTTCGGTATGTGGGAGCCACACCCACAGCTATACAAGCTCATTTATTGGCTTTGCTTTAAGACACATAAATAAATCTCGAGAGAGATTTTAAAAAATCTCAGTTAATCTTGGACCCAGGCAAGACTGAACAGACCAGGGTAAATTGAAGGGGGTGGGTCAGCCTGGTGCCCGCCTGAGCACAGACCCCAGTAGCCACTTGCTCTCACAATCCAAAATCGCTGCCACGCCCACAGCCAGATTCCACCGTCTCAGGACGGACCTCATTGAGATGCAATCTGCTGAAAATTTGGGTATGCAGATTTTGTGACTGAAATCTCCAGGCTTCCTTGGGGTTGAGATCAGCTGCCTTCCTCCCACTTCCCTATACTCCTGGAAGCACTGACAGACCCTCAGGAACCAACTCTAGCTCCATTATGTAAGCTCTTCTACTGGCCTTGCTTCAGAGACTCATAAATAAATCTCAAAAGAGATCAAAAGCAGCAATTAATCTCAGACCCGTGCAAGGCTGAACAGACTGGGGTAAATCAAAGTGGGTAGTGGGTCATCCTGGTGCCTGCCCAAGCATAGTTCTCAGCAGTCATTTGCTCCCACAATCCAAAATCACCACCATGCCCCCAGTCAGACTCTACCATCCCATCTCATGATGTACCTCAATGAAATATAATCTG